AAACAAAATCTACGACCTAACTTGAGACCTTTTTTGAAACTTTGATAATCTTGTAATATGTCATTGTACAAAATGTATACTAAGGTATATTTACATCCGCCCTTTCTTTACACCCATTGAAATGAAGTGCGTATGCATGCGCATTTAGACAGAAGTTGCGCACCTATTATTTATTATTATTCTTATAACTAGCAGAAATACCCACCCTCCGAGCAAGGTATAACTGCTAGTTTCTGCGGAAGATTATTGGGCCTACGGCCTTTTCTGGAATTGTTCTACAACAATGTTCTCATACTTGACATTCAGTAATGTTCACCATCCATTAGAAAAAGGATTTTATTGAAATTTTACTTTAAAAATGAGGTATCATCACAGCATTACATCACAGAGTAGATTTTATTGAAGTATTTTTTTGTAGACGCAGTTATCAATGAAAGTGTCTTGCTGTTCTGTTGCAATACTCATGAGATTTTCACTAAAGAAAAACAAATAATGTTTGAGTTTGTTTTTTGATTGTTTTATATTTGAAACTTACTCCTGTTTTTGTAATTTTTATTGGTTAAATCTGAAATATATCATTTTTGAGGAAATTTCAACTGTTTTATTTATTGCTCAGCTATAAAAATACTGCCTAGGTATATAAATATTACCCAGTTATGATTGGTGATGATCGGTGTGGTAGTTTCCGAGATCCGAGTTTTGGACGTTTACATCGCAGGCTCCATTATAATAAGATATATTTTCATAAGTTATCACAATATTTGAACATGAATTTAGGATGGTTTGAAAAGTTAAAACTCGCGCATCATCATTGCTAATTTTAATATTTTTGTACAAATTTTGTTAAAATATGATGTATCTTAAGTCGTTAGAAGCACATTACTATAGTTATTGTTACTCAGCATTTCTTATTAACAAGTTAACATAGTCAAAACCACTTCTTATATCCCCTTAATTTGTTTTCTTTTACATTGGTGAGTTTTCTAATTTTAGTACATGTCAGGTCGATATAGCATTTTAGGGCTGCGAATCGAAGGATCGCGGGTTCGAGACGTGTTGCCATTAAACATCCTCTGCACTTTCAGTCGTCAGAGATTTATAAAAGTGACAGTCAGTCCAGCTATCGTGTTTGTACATCAATCCTAGGGTTCTCTGCTCAGGTCGTTTAATTCCACATGCGTGTAAGATGTTTTTCAATTATTCTTTGAGTTGATAATATAAGTATTCTTAATTTCTTTATGAGTTTCAAATGTAACAACTTTGCCTATTCTGAGTTCGAATCCCCATCACCGAACATGCTCATCCTTTCAACTGTCGGGACGTTATCATGTGACGGTCAATCCCACTATTCTTTGGTAAAAGAGTAGCCCAAGAGTTGGCAGTGTGCTGTGTTGACTAGCTGCCTTTCCTCTAATCCTGTGCTTCTCAACTGGTTGATGGTTCACCCAGAGGTTAATGAGATCAGAATCAGAGTAAATGATAATGATGGGGTGAATAGCAGGGTGAATCAATATTATTAATTATACAACAAATTCAAGAGCAAAAACGTCATTAGGTATTATTATTATTTATTTTTGTTGTAGTTTGATAAATGTTTAAGTCATAATAAAGAATTTTCATTTAGTGCTTTTTGTCTTTTTTTTTCGAACTTGGGTGAGTGAGCAGTTATGAAAAACTTATAGGGGTGAATGATATTGGAAAGGGTTGAGAAGTCTGGTCTATCATTGCCAAATCAGGGACTGCTAGCGCAGATAGCCCTCGTATAGCTTTGCGAGAAATGAAAACCAAACCTATGTTAATCCTTGTCTACATCTATATCTTGATAAGGTCCAGTATATATTTATTATAAATCAAAACAATGATGTAACAAGTGAAGTTACAAGATAAAAACATGCTATTAAATAAATCAAATACAATCTATTCAGGGGTGCAACTAGACTTTATGAGGCCGATGGAGCAAAAATTACATGGCGGCCTAACCCATGGTGTAAATTATTGTAAGGTCCCCAAGAGGTGTGATCCGATGTAAGATAGGCAGATATCAGAACACACGATGTTTTGAAACATTTCGTATGTATATTAGCATTTTGAAGATTATCAGAGTAGACTACTTTAAGTTAATCGTCCTTGAAGAACGTTTCATTTGTAACTGCGTAGGTAAATCATATCAATCTGGATAGCGTATTTTTCCATATACACGTTCTCTTTACTTTTCAGGATACTGATTCTTCTTCAACAACTTCAAACGTACAGAGTCAACAAAATACTCCAATATATGAAAGAATGCGCTTTCCTAAAGAGACCGAAGAACTAATTAGTGTGGAAACAAGTTTCTTCCCAAAGAAGACTGAAAATTCTGCTAGTTTGGAGGTTACACTTTAATGTTATGATAAATGACACCGTATTAAGTTGGGAAATACAACATCAACTACGATTATTGAAGTTACAGTATCAAACTTTGTCAGGAACTAACTTTTTTTATTTTATATCTTAAAGCAAGAATATGGGTGTGTTAGATAAGTATTCTTCAACAGTAGGTATCTGTGACTTGTTGGCGATAATTCGATGATAAATGAGCAGTAAGAAACTCCACTTGTTTCTTTTTAAATAATATATATATTCGAAACAAGTTAAACGTATATACAAAAACTCTTTATTCTATGGAGATTGTATTGTATCTTAAACACTACTCTATTCTCTTCTTCTTCTTGTGAAAAGTCCACTTAAGCCAATTCAATTGCTTTAGAATTAAGTTGACAAGCCGAACTCATTTTCTCTATTTCTTATTGCTATAGTGTCCGTGTATAGTTCACTTACATTGTCGTTGAGTTACCGCAGTTGTATTCTGAACTTCAAAAAATCGTCTGCCTTTTGTCAAAGTTCACTTAGGCAGGTTCAATTACTTTAGAACACCCTTTGAACTTATTCTCCTTATCTCTTTCAAAATTGTTAATCTCACTCTAAAATATCAACCATTAGGCCTTTCACTCCCACAACTGTTAACTTTATGTTTAACTTTTATCTGACCGATCGTTACTTCCGCGTGACTTTACTTTTTTCTCTCTTCTTTCCTGTTCCCGCTCGTTTGGTCGCCATTATTTATACGTCTATAACTTAGGCCTTCTAGAAATCTCTATAGCCTAGACATCAACATATTGCACACAACGTTCGATAGCCTCGACATCAATGCATTACAAAAATGTTTTTTTTCTCTTTATTTCAATTAATTCAATATATTTTTTCGTATATAAGTATGTAATTGTTATGCATTATTTTGTGAATTTCAGGACTCTGTTCGCAAGATTTACGTGAAAAAAAGAGAGTAGAGAGTTATAAAATACTTCTGAATTATTTTCAGTTACTCAACGATCCAAACATACAGAGCCAAGTGGACCAGTTAGTAGCTATGATTGAATCTTACATGAAAGTAGTAGCCAAGACGATTCAAGACTTAGTTCCGAAATACATCATGTTGTTCCTTGTAAAAAATGTACGTATTTTATTTTATCTTAACGCTATTTGTTAAAGAAAGGTTTTACTCTTGGATTACTGTGGCTTGGTTTTACCAGTGTACTTTAGGAAACTTCATCGAGCACATAAAACAAATATATATTTATCGAATTAACTTTATATAGAAATAATCTGAACTGCAAGGTTGTTGTTCTTTTAACGAGTTAGATAGCCCTTGTTATACTGATAGTGAAGCATCGACTGTGAACTAACATGCTCGTGACATGGTGTCGCCACTTTATATATTCGAGGGAATTATTCAAAAATGAATGTTCAGTTTTTTCAAGCACAGAGCTACCTACGCTAAACTCACCATTAGGATTGAACCCTGAATTATAGCGCTGTAAGTCTCCGTTGAGCCATTGGGGAGTGGGACTAATCTATTTATCCTTTCTAGCGAGTTCATATGTCATTAATACTTCTACTGCTACTGTATACTATTTGATTGTCTGTTCTGTAATCTCAAAAAAATAAAAACGTGAGAATATAGTAATGTTTTAAAAGGGAGACTATGAAATAAAATCATACAATACATTTTTAATAACGTGATGATTTAATGTACAGAAATTGCCAACAAAGAACCATAAAATCATACAATCCATTTTTAATAAAGTGATGACTTAATTTATAATATACCCAGCAAAGAACCATGTTGAGACTGGATAAACAGATTGTTTTCTGCATCACTAAATTGATATTCTATACAGTTAGTAAATCCTCTACGCCCTTTTGGTAAACCTTAAAATATTTCATGTTCACGGCGTATCCAGATGAAGACCTTATAACAAGTTGTACATGCATTACATTGCTACAGTGAATTGATAAAAACTGTACAGTCATAATACTGATAAGTAAACACTTTATAAAAGATAATAATTACACCCGCTAGGTACATATTTGATACAAACGGTATTCACATCATATCGTAGCTAAAAGGTTGATAAAAAAACATATCATGTACACCATTAGGTAAAAACATTATAAAAAACTTTAATTCTGTCACATTTCCGAGTAAAAACATAATGAAAATGGTATACAAATCATAACACTAATTGAAGGGTCAACCTCATTATTTTATTTATTACAGGGATAGATTTTGCAATGTTTATTAATTATTTATTGATACCAGATTGATATATATGCCTAATTCCCTTACAGACTATGACATATGCAACAAAGGAACTTACAGGAGAACTTGTAGCTGATTGTGCTATTGTAAGTATTAAGAAATATATCCGTATAAATATATATATATACATCTGTTTCGATACGAAGCAAAGAAACATTAATCTAACACTGTTCTGTGATAAATTAATGATTAGGTTACATTATAAGTACCAATCCTGGTTCTAAAGTGAGTTTTACTTCATACTCACGAGTCAGTTTCTGATACTTGCAGGACATTTTGTGCAAATACAAAGAGCCGTAGTCAGAGAGAAGACGCTAAACGACCACTTCAATATTTTAAAAAGTCTAAAAGGGTCATTCTTATCCGATTTTTTAAATAAATACTAAATTTTCGTGTAAAAGAAAAGGGACACATTTATCTGACAAAAAAGACCCCCACACTCTCGATGACGAGGAACCCACTTTGAGACTAATAATGGCTGGAGACATGATGATGACAAAACCTTGTCGAAACGTTGTACATTTGCTGTTATGTTAAACTTATATTAAAGTTTTTCTTCATTACCCATTCAAGCCGTCTCCAGCCATTATTACCCCCACACTCTGCTGTGCTGGCTACACCCCTGATGTTAATTTATGGCAAGCTTCAAATACATGCACAATAATTTATTCCCGTGAAACTACTTATGTAAAAAACATATACAGAAATGGCGAAACCGGGGTGGACGATATTCAATAATAAGTGTATCCAAAATGGAAGACGTGAATTGCTTCATCAAGAAAATACTTAGTAATGGAAGATGTTTCACTCGCAAATTCATTATGTTGAGGATTAAATAAGGACAAGCTGAGGAACCCATCTTACGTCCGAGGGCATGAGGATTGAATGTAGGGCTTGAACTAATGAACTAAGTCAAGAAATTATATTTATATGCTTAATTTATTTCACACATAATTTACTTTACAACTGCTTTAGTTCACACCTACTTTTTCACACATTAACAAAATGGTGTTAGAATTTTATTTTATTACTTTTACTAATCCTTCTCTACAGCCTCAGAATTTATTCATATTCTGAATGCTTCTTCATAGACCACATTACAAGTTGTTCTTCCTTCTTGGGTCAAAATAAAGATATTTTTGATGATCTTACTCTTGAATCCCCAACATAGAACTGACCATGTGGAAAACAAGAGTTTTTCAGATGTGTCCCTGCCACTTTAAGGGGCTGAGCTTGTGCTTTTTTGTTTTTCTTTTTTCTTAGCAAAATTGTGAATGTTTAACATTTTAAAGGAAAAAACCCAAAATATCCTAAGAAAAATTCAAAATAAAATAATTTAGAATTAAAATGGAATTAAGACTCTGGAGCCATTAACTAAGTACATATTTTTGTTGAAGGCGTGGTCCCGGGTAAGTGAGGCTGAGTAATTACCACTCTATGGCATATTCCCTAATCTAATGTATCATTTTACCAAGATTGGTTTGAGATTAGTCCAAAAACCACGGGGTAGTTCGCGGACAAACAAACAATTTTCTACTTTTATATATATATAGATTGTCTGGGTAATGTGTATTGCTTTCTTACAAATGCGACGAACACAACGATGGAAAAGCATATTATTCCACAGAAAATGTTATCATTTACATTTCAGTTAAAATACCTGTAAGAAAACGTGAGAGCTGAACAAGGGGAACGACCTTCACAGTTCGCTGTCTAGCTGATCTGCTTGACTTTCCATGCTTTCCGAAGACTAATTTTGTGATTTAACCATCAGGATTTATTACCTAAAAGAAGCGAATAGCACCTTCAGGAAAGTTCCTCTGTTACTTATAACAATTTCGTGTTCCATCAAATGCATGGCAGTAATTTCTACGAATCGTACTCTAATCACAGCATGTGACATCATGTAAAGCGTAATTCTCATACATCTCCTACAACACAGCTTGAATTAATCACCAATATGAGCCTTTCCTTAAAACGTTTCACATTGTACACAATTCTAATTATACTAATTAGTAACTTGGGTGATATACACAAGAACATGAATACTTTCAATGGATGATATTGATCTCGTTGTCATATTCGAAAAACTTTTGTACTACGTAATGTTGCTTTATTTGAATTTTTGAAATAGCCAAACGAAAAAGCTTTAATAAGCTATAAAGTTAATAAATGTAGTACAAACTTTTAGCTCATAGCTCCATCTCTTGACCAATATCAGATCTAATTACAACCGCAGGTATGGAGGATTCCATCTTGTTTTTAATATGATAAGCTCCAAGGCTGTTGTGAAAACCCTACAAACTCAAAGGCTGAACAAAGCACGTGACACTTACAGGGTTTCTCAAACTTTTATTTATCGTTCTCTAGCAATATTATATTTATAACACCAGTTATACTGAAACATTAAATACTTGCTAAAACAATGCAAATACCTTCAATTTCAATGGAATATAGGTGTATTTCTGTTTGTTGTAAAAATGGAAATGCGTTAATATAATCAGGATCTCTGTGAAAACCATCCGTATCACTTTAGGGGTCGCGACCAACAGTTTTGGAGACGCTATGTTCTAGGATGAGCGAACTAAAACCACTTTCCTACATTTTGTATTTCATGTCTTAAGGCCAGTTCAAGTGATTTAAATATTTATCTCCTTACATTTTATCGTTTTTTATTATTTTTTAAACAGGAAACTTTGATGTCAGTTTGTGTTGAAGACGCTAAAAGACGAGAAGAGCTTAGTATAGCGATTGATGCTATTGAAACGGCACTGGAAATAGTTGGTCAAGTTTGATAGAACTGCCTTTATTTGTCTTCAGAAAAGAAGTTGTAAAGGATAAATAACATCTCATCTGTTTTGGAAATCATTCATTAAACATATATAATTGTAAGCAGTATATAGTTTAGCATTCTGATTATATACATCTAATTTCTAGTTGCTCTATTTACGTCAAACGTTTATCAAAAAGTTCAAAAATGTTTTAGTTTCTGTAAGAAATCCTAAAAGCAGCAAATAAAAATCAAATCAAGTCACCATTGACCAAACAAGTGATGAATAAAAATTTACAAACATGTGACTTCGAGTTTGCTTTACTTTTTTAAGTGTATAATTTGAAGTTTATTATTGTAACAAATCATTGTTTCTTAACTGTCTGATCAGAAAATATTACATGATCAGTTGATATATTGTATCTCGGTAACTTACACTTGAAGTGACTAACTGTGAACGTCATCTAGTGATAAATACGAAATATTTCACGGCGCATAATTCTGTTTGTTAGAATAACCCTACTTCTTTGCTTCCTTTTCACATTAACTGATGCTCTCTTTCCTGTGAATTTGGCTTTATACATAAAGTAAATTGAACATCATTATAAACATCATTGTATTACCTACCCATAATTACGAAGAAGCACAAACAGAAATACTGAAGATAACAACAACTTTCCCTGTCATCATTTGTGGCCGAATCTATAACTAAAAACAACTGTTTCGGAAACGAAGCTCATTGATTATTTCCACGCAATCATGAAGGTTGGAAAATATTTTGCTTGTATTTTGTAACAAAAAAATTATCCTTCCACTTTTGATATTTTTAGCCGCGGCATAGTGGCTCACAGAATGGCTCCGAGTTTGTTTTTTTTTTTCTTGTTTTTTTTTTTTCAAGTGCAAACATTTAGCTCATAGCTCCATCATACCTTGAGCGATTTGAGATCTAATTACAGTTTTGGACTCAGGAGGTCAAACCCTTTCGATTGATGTATTTCGTGCCCAAGGTCTCACAGATTAATTTACTCTAATTCTGCCTAAAATAATTTTAATGTGAGGGTAGGCTGGTAGAGATTCTGATGAGTAATAAAATCGAATCGGGTATACGCGCGCCCCACGCTCGGTATTGCTGGCGCGCAAGAATATCACTAATAAAAAGGGGGATTGATTTAGATTGATTTATTCTAATCCTGACTAAAAGAATTTTAAGGGACGCAGGTACTAAGGATTTCCTCTTGTTTCAACCCAGTGGTTATATTTTCAGGCTACAGATCAAAGGTTTTGGGAGTCTGTATGCCAATTAGCATTCTTTGCACTTTCAGTAGTGTACGAGATATAAAAATTACATTCATTTCCGTTATTCCTTAATAATGGTGGATACTGTTTGGCTGGCTGCCTTCTCTATTATCAGTAGTTTAAAATTAGTGGCGGTAATAAAGACAATGGAAAAAATCAATCGGAGAAAACAATACAAAGAAAATTACACAAACAGGTAAAAAAAAAAAAATACGTCCTTTATTTTAGGAATGGTACAAGATGACAAATTCCAAATAAGCATTTTACTTTTTTAATATCACATACATGCGTAAACACTGTAAGATTGGCTTAGCTGTTATTGATACTGTTTTCCAAAATACTTTTTTGACTTATTTATCTGTTTTTGTAATTTTCT